GAAAAATTTAAGTGGGTCTGAATACTTTCCGTACCCACTGTATATGGGCTGTCAGTTTAACGCGTTAACTTAAAATGAAAAAATAGCGCGATTAAAATATTTTAACGCAGTTAATGCACTGGCCCCGCCCCTGTACATCATCTTACATTTCATATAGTTGAGTGTTGACAAATATGATGCAGGGCAACAACTCCATAAATGCAGTTGTGCCCTAAAATTCAAGATATTGTTGCAAAAAATGCCCCTGTATGAGTTTTTGTCTCATATCATTTGATAAGCTATATCACACGAGCAGGGAGAGCAGTATTACACAAGTGCTGATTTTGTCGCGAATATCATAAGTTTAAATGTGATTTTATACAGCACTTCAGTAATAAGAAGTTGATATTGTGTTTTATTTTAAACACAATATTATGTGTTTTTGCACAATTTTGCAGAGACCATATTACCTTTAAAGCCATAGCAGAACTGTTGTGCGTCTCCGAGCAACTCAGAGGTGTTTAGTTTCTGAATGAATCGGCGTTTTGAACGAATCGTGTGAACCAATGATTCAAAGCTCCATTTTTTTAAAGAAAATAGTTTTCAAAAAAAAATTAAGCAGCAAAACATTTATAATCCTTTTTTTTTTTTTTTTTTTTTTGAACAACGATTTCTGAGGAATCATGTGACACTAAGACTGGAATGATAGATGCTAAATTCTTTAAAAATGGTCATCGTAGACATTTTGAAATATATTGAAATAAGAAACCATTTAAATTGTGATAATATTTCACAATATTACCGTTTTTACTGTATTTTTATTAAATAAATGCAAATTTGGTGAGCAGGAGACTTATAAAAAAAACGTACCAACCCCAAACTTTAGAATGCTATTGTAATGTTTTTATTAGTATTATTACTTTTTTATTATTTATCACTAAAACAAGAATTGATAGTTTTTGTCAAATTCAGTCAAACCAGTCAAGTCACAATGGTACAACCAACATGAAGGAAGTAATTTTATTGCCATGTGACAGGAAGGCAATAATGGTAGACCCACAATATGTGTCTTAAAATATATATTATCATTACGATCAAAAATATCATAACATGCTAAATTAGTTCAGGTGGTCAACTGTTCATTAGTGACCCCCAAAATTATGAACAAATGAAGAGATATATGTGAAGTGATCTAGGAAAACCCAAAAAATGCCCCTGTATGAGTTTTTGTCTCATATCATTTGATAAGCTATATCACACGAGCAGGGAGAGCAGTATTACACAAGTGCTGATTTTGTCGCGAATATCATAAGTTTAAATGTGATTTTATACAGCACTTCAGTAATAAGAAGTTGATATTGTGTTTTATTTTAAACACAATATTATGTGTTTTTGCACAATTTTGCAGAGACCATATTACCTTTAAAGCCATAGCAGAACTGTTGTGCGTCTCCGAGCAACTCAGAGGTGTTTAGTTTCTGAATGAATCGGCGTTTTGAACGAATCGTGTGAACCAATGATTCAAAGCTCCATTCATAAAGAGAGCCGTTTACTTCATTCCTGAATGAATCAGCCGTTTGAACGAATCGAATGAAGACATTTACCGCCACCTGCTGGCAGATTAAGTTTCTTATATAGAGTATCATTTCATAAATAATAACAACATTAAAGGGTTAGTTAACCCAATAAATGTAAATTCTGTCATTATTTACTCACCCTCATGTCGCTTCAAACCTTTCTTTTGTGGAACATAAAAGAAGGTATTTTGAAGACTGTTGGTAACAAAGCTGTTTTGGTGACCAATGACTTTCATTATATGAACAAAAAATACTGAGATGTTTCTCAAATTATCTTCTTTTATGTTCCATAGTTTATGTTAGGCCGTTGTAGTCTAAACGTTTATGTGTAATACATTTTATGTTGAATCAAATAAAATATTTGTTTCTTTCTTTCTCATTTAACACAAAAATAGATTTAAATAATCTTTTGAGGGTATTTTCACAGTCAAACTTATTTTGCAATTAATTAGATTAATTAATCGACATCATTAATTCGATTAAAAATGTTAATCGACTGACAGCCCTAATATATATATATATAT